ATTTCATAGTTATATTGTAAAATGTAGATCTGGGTTGATTTTTTCATTTATCTATATCCAGTGGTGTAAAATCTTGATCAAGATCTACATGTGAAAATCAATTTGTTTTGAACCATAGATATCACTGTTGTACAGCGTCCACCGGATATAGCCCCTAAAAACAACAAAAACGAAAGTAGAAAGCTTCACACTGAGTACACCCAAGATAATGTTTTAACTTATTTCTTCATCATAACTTCATTGATTTTTCCAAACTAAACAATTTTGTGACGCTAAAAGGTTCTTGTTTTAGAGCAATATTTGCTTTTGTCTGCAAATTGAATACTTTTTGTTAAATTGGTGATGAATTGTAGCGTATTTGTTGACATTTGCGAACGATGTTGATATTTACCACTAAAACCAGCCCAAAACGCATTTGCTGTATCGAATTCAGCCGTTAATACAACTATAGTCATCACTCTACTTATATTTGAGTTTTCCCCCTTCAACTTGGGCTGCTTTTAACAAAATTTGCGAAAAACGACCTTGCCTTGTGTACAGAGTCTAGCACGGATGTGTACGGGGTGTAGATGGAAAACTGTTAGCGATTGTACGGGGTGTTGTAGGAAGCGAATGTCATTTTCTGTAAAATAAATTCAGTACCAGAGCATATACACGTACGCTGATGAAGAAATAACGATTAATGTCGGGAGCAGGGATTGTGAAGTGTATGATATTAATTTTATAAAAGATGAAAATGTTTAAATTGTAAACATGTTACGCAACATGTATATTTATTGCAGTAAACAGTTTCCGTCCTGCTAATCGTGACTAAAAGTTGATAGGGAAATCGTAAAACTCAGTAGACCACAATTTTATTCCATAGTGGTAGAATATTATGTACAGCAAATTCTATAATTTGTCTTAAACAATTTCAAACCATGTTTGGGTTATGCTTGATCTAAACTTGTTATATTGGGTCATTATTTCACTGGTCTTAAGACTTTATTAAAATACAAACATACATGTATGTTAATGAGCTTTGATAAAATATCCGCCTTGATTAGTTAGGTTAATCATTAGATTTATCTTTTGTGGCTATAAAGTCTTTCATATTTTTTTGCAGTCAAACTCGGGTGACCTCACTTGTGATTTCGATATTGTTTAATAAATACAATGCTGCCGCTTATGTTGCTGCTTTTTCTAAAAATTATAATGATAATGATGACTATTCAATGATGATGATGACGATGATGACAATAATGGTATTTTATGTTTTCAATTCAACAATGCCATACCAATGTACAGAGTGTGCAGAGTGATATGAAACATTTAAAGAGTCTATTCGGCATATTATTACCAGTATCTTTTGAGTCGATTAATAGCTTATATAAGGCGGCTAAAACTGGTCAGAAGACTCCTCAACATGTCTCATAAATAACGACAGACACTATTCAGCTGATGGCATGACAACACAAATTCAACGCAGCTATACTGTTAGGCTCAAAAACACAAAAAAGTTAAATTATTTACCAAATACCTCTGTATCGTCCTCTAATTAATCTATCCATGTTTAGTCTGAAATGAAATTATTTCCAATTAAAAATAATATAAAAGACTATACTTTAAAAATATTTGACTGCTAGACACCGTACACATCTACTAAACCCTGTACATTAAACTACAACACCCCGTTCACTTAAATTTGTTTTCTTTGCTAGACTCTGTACACAAGACAAGGCCGTTTTTTGCATATTTTGTTAAAAGCAGATCGAGTTGAAGGGTGTAAACTCAAATCTAAGTTGAGGGAGGACTATAGTTTGTGTTAAATGGCGAATTTTGATACAGCAAATGCGTTTTGGGCTTGATTTAGTGGTAAATATCAACATCGTTCGCACATATCAACAAATACGCTACATTTTATCGCCAAGATAACACAAAGTATTCAATTTGCAGACAAAAGCAAATATTGCTCTTAAACAAGAACCATTTAGCTTCACAAAATTGTTTAGTTTGGAAAAATCGATGTAGTTATGATGAAGAAATAAGTTAAAACATTACCTTAAGTGTACTCAGTGTACAGCTTTCTACTTTCGTTTTCGGTGTTTTTAGGGGCTATATCCGGTGGACGCTGTACAACAGTGGATATACATGTATATTATTATTTGATTTTGTATATTTTAGGTTGAATTCCACAAAGTCTTGTACTTCAGGCTTCTGTGATATTGATTTTTATCCTGTTGCTGGCTTTTTGAAGATTGACACAGACATGTAGACACAGCATTTAACTATCAGGTGGTTGGTGAGCTAACACTCTGTCTCTTTTATCTTTCATCTTGGTCTGAATAACTAGTATATTACACCTGTCCCTATTTGAAATTATTTCCATCCAGTCTGGTATTGTCCATTTACTGTAATAAATCCTATATTACCCCAGATATTATATATCCAACAGCTGAATTATTTCATATCCTATCCTGATAACTTATTGTAGCTGATTACTTACTGTACCTATCTTTATTATTATTATTTATTTAAAGCAGGACTTGCTTGAACCAGAATTTTGCCTGAAGTAAGCATGTAGATTGAATAGTTTTGCATTTATTGTAGGAACAGATCATTGTAGTTAACTTGTGAGTAAATATAAATAAAGTATACATGTAGGTTTGAAATATTTATTCTTTAGTTAGAATAAATTGTTCAACCCGGGCAGTTAAAATCAATTATATTTAAAATTCTGTAAACTTTAAATAACATTTCATTTGAAATACTGCGACGGTATCATGTAGCCGGTAAATAGATTTGAAGTGAAATATTTATTCTTTAATTAGAATAAATTGTTCATTTTTAAAATCCGCTGATTTATATTTTTATACACAGTCTGTGAGAACCGACATTCAAACTTCTTCTTCATTTTCGAATAGTGAAGTGTTTTGTGTAAGTGGATATATATTTTCTTATATAAAATTATTCTATATTTACAAGAATTTAACATATATACAGATAGCAAATCAATTGTTGCTACTGTATCACAGTTGAAAAGTTGATAATTTGGGTTCTACTCATCATTTAGTCATTATAGAAAGTCTGTTGATAGGTATACTATTTTACTTTATGAACTGAAAATTAAACATTTAGCATTGAAATAATTGTCTAAATCAGAAGAAAGGAAACTTTACACATTTATTTATTCCGGTTAGCTTTGTGTGTACTTGTACTAAGTTGAGTCTGTGCCTGAACAAGTAAATTTATAGATAATCTATGTAAGTTAGGTCTTTGGGATTTTTTTTCTGATATTGTATAGAGTACTGGACTGAACATTGTTTGCAATACAGAATTCCTGCATATAATTTTACAAGCCTGTGTGTCTCTTGCAATTACCATAAATTAGTTGAAATTTATACACTATAGCAAGTAACTGAACAAGTGTCTGTGCATTTCACAATATAATTTTATAGACTTGTTACCTGTAACTTGACAATCTTAGGGGTCTGTAATAAGTTATTTATTGAGTAAGTTAAGCACTGAATATTATTCAGTTGAATTTAATACTGCTTTATAATAGAGACTGAATATTAGTGTTATTAGATCTATTGTTTTACAAACTTTGATCTAATTTACTGACTGTATATAGTACATATTATTCAGGTGACCTTGAAATTTTGTGTAATGTATGGTGCACTGTGTGGGTCATAATTTGAATAAAGTTGATTAATTATTTTCAAGTCTTTGTGTTTTTTTTCTTTTGAAATAAAATTGTTTTATTTCTATTGTTTGTACTTTATTACATCTATATAGACCTAAACTGGTTACTGATGTAAATCATTTTTTTTAGTGTATGGTGTACAATTTGGGCCATTTGAAATCCTGAATTTTAAGTCACGTTCATTTTTTTTTGGTCCAATCCATTTTTTTTGTTTTCTCATCATGGCGGATGGTACAACTCAGTCCTTAGACTATTCAGATGCAGATCTAGAATTTTTTGCTAGACAGTTACAGAAATCTGGTAAGTTTCAAGTTAATGCAATGGCAAGTACACCTCATACAGTACACTCAAGTCATACATTTAATGTTACACCTACTCCTATACGGGAACATATCAGCAGAACACATCAGGTTCACTTTCCTCCACCTGTTTATAGCATTCCTCCACCCATGCCTAACCCTCAACCATACTTGTCTTTTGTGACAAATCGGGACTTGGTACATGCCCGTATCCCTGAGTTACCTTCTTTTTCAGGAGATGGGAAATACAACTCGTCAATGTTCGAGATATGGCGCTATGATGTTAATTGTGTCATTGATGAGGGTAATTATCCACCATTTATTATCAGGGAGGCCATTCGTAAATCTTTGAAAGGCAGTGCCAGAGGTGTTCTTTTGCATTTAGGTGAAAATGCCACTGTTCCTGAGATCTTGAATGAGTTAGATGGCATTTATGGTAATGTTCATTCAACTGAAAGGTTGAAGGAACAGTTTTATAATGAACAGCAGAAGGTGGATGAGTCTGTTGCTGACTATAGTTTGCGTCTGGAGAGGTTGCTTAGCAGGATACCGTGCAATCTTGATAGGATGTCCAAGGATGAGATGCTGCGGGGTAGGTTGTGGTCAGGCCTCCGAGATATAGAGCTGAAGAATGCCTCTCGATTTCTTTTTCAGAAGGACCTCAACTTCAATACTCTTCGTAAAGAGTTGAGAGCCATTGAGGAAGACTTACGCTTGTCTCGGTTAGCCACTTCTCTCCCTCTTCCACCCAAGCAGGCAACCCCTCAGGCCAATATTTCTGTTTCTACTTCTAATACTCCTAATGAGTCTGTTCCTGCACAGCAGTGTGTCACTACTGTAGATAGTAGACTTCTCCAGGAAATAAGGGCCCTTTCTAAGCAGATGGAAGGCATGGAGTCCAGGCTGTCTAGTATGGAGAAGGAACTCAAGGGCTTGAAACAAGAGAGATCTTCCACTCAGGATGTCAAAGCCTCTGCCAGTCCTTTAAACTACAGTCGACCTCCATCGCAGGGCAGATGAGAGGTCATTCTTCCCCTTCTAATGCCCCTGCTTCTACATTTCCTCTAGTTGGCTCTTCTAATGAAACTGAAATTCTTCTAAATGGCACTTCTACTATAGCTTTGATAGATACTGGCTCTATGATTTCATCTATTGGAATTTCATTCTTCAAATCTTTAAAGCCTCAGCCTGTCATGTCACAGTTGTCAGATTTTATGTTGGATATTTCTTCTGCTAATGGTTCTAAGGTACCATATCTTGGATATTCAGTTCTTGATATTACTTTTCCTTCTCTTTCATCACAATCTTTTTCAGCTCCTATTCTGATTGTTCCAGACACAGAGTACTCCAGCAGAGTTCCTTTGATAATAGGCACCAACATACTGAATGTTTTGAAGTCATCAAGAACAGAATCAACATCATCTCCACTTTCAGACATCATATCTTCCTTGTCTGACATTGTCACCAAACCTGTTACTCTTCTTCATCATCAGACTGTCATTGTGAAGCCTTTTGAAACAACAACACTTGAGGGAAAGGTGAGACATATTGGCAACATGTCATCTGGTGTTACAGAGTCTACTGATTCTCTTATGTTGAATGTGTGCCCTAGATTGGTTAAATTACAACCTGGTACTTCTTTTTGCAGGGTTCCAGTACGTGTTTGTAACTTGACTGCTAGAGCTATTACCATTCATCCAAGAATGACTCTTTGTAACTTACATGATGTGTCTGTTGTTCGCACCATTGATCCTTCAGAGGGCGTTGCTGATAAATCCCACAATTCAGACAAGTCTCTTGATGACCTTGGTATTTCTATTCCCACTGAAACTTTAACTTCTGAACAGCAGGTTAAGGCAACTTCCTTCTTCAATCAGTGGAAACATATTTTCTCCTCTGGGCCTACTGATCTTGGTTCTACTGACTTGGTCGAACATGAAATCAATCTGACTGATCCCACACCCTTTAAAGACCCTTATCGCCGAATACCACCAGGGATGTTTGAGGAGGTACGTGAGCATTTACGAGACATGATTTCCGCAGGAGCGATCCGTGAGTCCAAGAGTCCTTTTTCTTCTAATGTTGTGTTAGTAAGAAAGAAGGACGGGTCTTTGCGTTTTTGTATCGATTACCGGAAACTGAACAACCGTACAATCAAGGATGCTTATGCCCTTCCTCGCATCGACGAAACTATAGATTCTCTCATAGGTTCCACTATTTTCTCTAAGCTCGACCTACGCTAAGGTTACTGGCAGGTCCCAGTCAAAGAATCTGATAAGCAAAAGACTGCCTTTAGTGTTGGGCCTCTCGGATTCTATGAGTGCAACAGAATGGCTTTTGGTCTTACCAATGCCCCTGCAACGTTTCAGCGTCTGATGGAGCGTTGTATGGGCGAACTTCACCTTCGTGACTGTTTGATTTATCTTAATGACATTATCATCTTTTCTGATTCTATTGATACTCATTTCCGTCGCCTTCAGTCTATCTTTTAACGTCTTGAGATGCACAATCTTAAACTTAAAGGGTCCAAGTGTGAATTCTTTAAGCCGCAAGTCCAGTATTTGGGTCACATTGTTAGTGCTGATGGTGTGAAGACAGATCCTGAGAAGATTGAAGCACTCAAGACATATCCTGTACCTACTTGCCTTAAGGAGTTGCGTAGCTTTTTAGGTTTCTCAGGTTATTACAGGAGGTTCATTAAAGACTACGCACAGATCGCCAAACCTTTGAATGACCTTCTTATTGGTATTCCCACCTGCAAAAGTTCTTCTAAGAAATCTAAAGTTCCTTTCAATTGGGGTCCAGATCAGCAGAATGCCTTTTGTTCTTTGATAGATAAACTTTCTTCTCCTCCAGTCTTAGCTTTTGCTGACTACAATAAACCATTCATTCTTAATGTTGATGCCAGTACTAGCGGTTTGGGAGCGGTTCTTTACCAGGTTGGTGCTGATGGTAAGGAGCATGTTATTTCCTATGCCAGTAGGGGTTTGAGAGCAGGAGAAAGACATTATCCTGCTCACAAACTAGAGTTCTTGGCTCTTAAGTGGTCTGTCTGTGATAAGTTCCATGATTATCTCTATGGTAATTCTGTGGAAGTTAGAACAGACAATAACCCACTTACCTATGTGTTTTCATCTGCGAAGCTTGATGCTACCAGTCACAGGTGGTTATCCTCCTTGTCAACTTGCGGTACAGAGCTGGTAAAGAGAACATCGACGCCGATACCCTTTCTAGAATTCCTTCAGCTTCTTCTCTTCCTGATTCTAACATTCTCCTTTCAGATGCTGTCAAGGCTCTTTTGTTTTCTCAATCTGAAGGTCCAGGTCAACTTCCAGCTGTTGAATGTATTTCTTTTAACCAAACTGTTCTTTCTCTTAATCCCAGAGACGAGATTGAAGTCGGAAGCAGCCTTAAGTCTATTGATTGGAAGAAGGAGCAGCAAGATGATCCAACACTTTCCCGTTTAGTTCAACTCTTTGAAATTGGTCATAGGTTAACTGAACGCCAAAAGTCACGTGAAACGGCCAAGGTTCGATCGTTTCTGAAGGAATGGAGCAACCTTTACTTTAAGGATTCAATTCTTTACCGTAAAGGTACTTCAAATGGTTACCCTGTTACTCAGCTTGTTCTCCCTGAGCATATGCTTGATTTAGCTTTCCAGGGTTTGCATGATGAGGCAGGACATCAAGGTTGTACAAGAACGATTTCCTTGTTCCGTTCACGTTTCTTTTGGCCTCAGTTAGAACAGTATATCGAACACAGGGTTCGAAACTGCCCCAGATGTATCCGGAGAAAGTCATTGGATAAAACGACTGCTAAGTTAAATCCTATTCAGTCGAGTTATCCAATGGAAATTGTCTGTATGGATTTTCTTTCTCTGGAGATGTCTCGGGGTGGTTATGAAAACATCTTGATCATTACTGATCACTTCACTCGTTTTGCTCAGGCTATCCCTGCCAAGAACCAAACTGCACATACTACCGCTAAACTTCTCTTTGAAAATTTTGTTTGTCACTATGGTTTTCCTAGTCGGTTCCATAGTGATCAAGGGCGAAATTTTGAAAGCGAAGTTATCCGGGAGTTGTGCAAGTTGGCCAATATTGACAAGACCAGGACTACTCCGTATCATCCACAGGGAAATGGGATGCCTGAGCGCTTTAACGAAACCCTCTTGAATATGTTGGGGACCCTAGAAGATGACAAGAAGGTCAATTGGAAGTCTCATGTTCCCGCTCTTGTCCATGCCTATAACTCTACTCCCCATTCTTCTACTGGTTATTCTCCCCACTTCCTCATGTTTGGTCGCCACCCTAGGCTTGCTATCGATGCGTTTCTTGGCATCGAACCAGACAAATCTCCTGTCAAGGACCATTCTTACGTCTCCGGTCTCCAGAACAGACTAAAATTTGCATATTCTGTTGCACTCCGAGAGGCCAAGAAACAAGGCAAGAAACATAAAAGGTACTATGACCTCCGTGTGAGAGAAGCGGAATTGAAGCCCGGGGATCGAGTACTGGTCCGAAATGTAGGTGTTCGGGGAAAATCCAAACTTGCCGATAGATGGGAAAAAGATGTTTACACCATTCTCAGCCAGCCCACCTCTGGAATTCCCATCTATGAGGTGAAGAAGGAAAACAGCAAGGACAGGTCCAGAGTTTTGCACAGGAACCTTTTACTTCCCTTTATGGGGATGCCTTTGTGCAAAACAACTGAGTCCTTATACAAGCCAGCTTCCTCTGACTTACATTCGGATCAGAACTCGTTCTCCAATCCCTCCTCTGATATTTCCATTACAGCTCCGTTAGATTCAAATCCCTCACTTACATCAAGTCCATCAAATGTTTCACAAAGCAATTCTTCCACAATACATGATTCTAACAATTGTATGTCAACTTCTTTTACAGGAACATCAAACAGCAAACAAGATGCCACGTCAACAACTCAAACTTCTTATTCTGTTCCAAATAAAACATCTCATTCTATTACAGGTTCAAAATATGTCATTCCTGCACTGAGAAATCCATATAAGGACAACAACAACAATTTACAGAGGCAGAAACGTACAAGAAAGAAACCCGGATGGATGCTTAATGATAACTGGAAATTAGATTAATGCTTTTTCTTTTGATTTATAGTTTAGGTGTGTTTCAACTTTGAAGTTAGGCGTTGCTTAGTACCTGATGTGTTTCGTTTTATGTTTTATACCATGTACCATATATTTTACCTTGGTAATTTATAAATGTACTTTACAGTACTTTAAAAATAAAGGATTTATTGTTGAGAGTGCACCTTTTCAATGAATTCACAGTTCTACTGATAAATTAAAATTTTGTTTCCGCGTGACATATATTTTTCGCGATTCGCGGCATACGGTATTTTTGTGGAACATGCTTGAGTTTAAGGTATTTTGCCCGGGTATTATATATTTACTCACAGGTTGTAATTGCCTTCAGTATTTAGATTTAGTTATGTAGTACCTAGTAGTTTAGTTACTTTATGGTCTAAGCTTACTACTTGCAATATCTGATTCAAGCTCTTCCTCTTTAATATTTTATGAATGTCGGGGCGACATTTCCCAAAGTGGGGAAGTATGTCATGTGGTCGATATTCGTGTTTTTGAATATCGTTTTTATGTATCATTTTGTCCTTGTATTTGTATATATATCTCTTGTATTTGTCTGTTTACAGTCCGATATACACTCCATTATCCCATATCATTCCTATATCATTCCATTTTATCATCTTATTATAACAACTAATTTCTCATATTTCATTTTGACATAATTTGCATGCCGGGCCTCAGTTTTTACAAACTTCCCGGAAAACCCACCTCACGCATGCGCACTTTGATATAAATATTTCTATTGGTTTGCGCCAGAAATTATTGTCTTATTTATTTATTTATTTATCAAGGCGTATGTTTATGTCCTTACAGGTAATTGTTGTTATTCATTATGTTTCATTATCATGCATATTTCCATTGATCGTTTATGTATTTCGGAACTGTATTTATGCACTTTGATATAAATATTTCTATTGGTTTGCGCCAGAAATTATTGTCTTATTTATTTATTTATTTATCAAGGCGTATGTTTATGTCCTTACAGGCATAAACAGAACATTCATACATTTGAAAAAGGACCATACGACACATGGATGCCTGCAGCATTAACAAGGTCATTTCGAAGAGAAGTTGCTGTCTAAAACTTTGTACGACATACCTGAACGACCAGAAACCGATCCTGGGCTGGTGCTGTGACCTTTTGCGGACCTCCTGCATGCCTCCTGGCGGGTGTACCATGTAGCCGGTATCCCTCTCAGGCTCTGGGTATGACAGTGCTTGTACACCAAGCGCACACAAACCTGGTGGAAAATGACTCCCTGCTGCACCATCCCTACAGCCCTCCATAACTCTGCCTCACTCAAATGCCACCTATTATTAACATTCGCCATATCGAAGTGAGATTGTAAGAAATATAAGCCACTGAATGACAATAATCCTGTAATGTCGCCGTTTAACAAAAGACGTGTGATTTTACACCCCATCAAAAACATGAAAATATTAAGATGCATGCTTTCCATGCTACCTAGACGAGTTGTAACGGATTAGTAAACATGGATTCATGTCAGGGACTATCTCAAAACATTGCTTAATAAGAATTAAGAAATATATTTTACACTTGTGATAATATAAAGTTAACTTATGATGCTTAGCAGAAGGTGAGTAGTATATTCATAAAATAAACAAACCAGAAATATGATATATGTATTGACGTGTTAGTCATACGTAATATATATATATATATATATATATATATATATATATATATATATATATATATATATATATATATATATATATATATATATATAATATATATCAACAGAAAAGTCTGGACGTGTTTGAATTTCATTGGTTTTTAACGCCAGATCTCCTTGGAGAGACTTTGAACATATATTATTTAAATTAGTTTTTTTAACCGGAGAAGCAATAGATGGCATTCTTCTTAATGAGTATAGACATTTGTGGAACAATTTGGTAATTATCTTAGTGCTTTAATAATATAGTGACTTCAAAACAATATTTTAAAATTGATGCTTACAATTTGGAATGTGGCAACTAGAATCGGAGACTTAAATAACTTTTAAAAATACTCTGTGCTACAATACGATATGAAAAAAGTGAACATGGATCGGATAAGTGCCCATAACGGTAATTTTTCAAATGTTTATATAGAAATCA